ACTTCTCCAGGCACCAGAAATCGTTGAATTTTGTGAAACCTGATGCCTGTAGACCGCGTTGCGCACACAGAGAGATGATAATCTCACTCTATCCTGTTGGCAAACTGGGCTTTGTAGCCGGCGACTGGGCTCTTAGAAATCAACAGACAGGTTGCGTAATTGCTGTGTGAAAAACAACATTAAGCACGGTTCTAGAAGTGCCAGGACCTCAAACTTAATAGGAGGGAACATGTTAGACTTATAGACCAAACAATATGGTAGAGTAGATAGACGATGACCCAGACGATAAATAATGGGAAGGACTCCTGCCACAATCCAGAAGATGACTGAAACGTCAACGAACAAACAAAAAGCGTCTATCTTACCAAGAGTTTCAAAAGATACCGCGAAAAGGCACAGAAAATCAGTAGTATTAGGTATTCGAGTTCGACGGGACATTGCTGCAGAACGAAAACCACCTCAGTGGCACATCAACGAACAAAACTTGAATTCGCCTTCGTCATAAATAAAGACGGTTCGATGCTCCTTGGTACTAGGTAATAAGTAGTAAATCATAAGTGCGCAAGTGTTGGCGTCGGGAAGTGGAGTGAAACGAAGGTGAAAATGCATTTAAAACCTGACATTTTGCATTTGTACGACACATACTCAGGAGCCTTCCTATTTCACATGATACGAAAGGATTTTGGATAAAACAAATCAATCTCGGAAACATGCCTCGTGCGAAGAGGCCAAGAGGAGGTTGCTCAAGGTCGTATTGCCTTTCTATGGCGAAATACAGTTGTCCTACTGAGGCCGCCCACGCGCAGATGTTTTTAGAAACATTCAGTGAGTCAGCGTAAACGCCCAACACCTATCGTAAATCCAAGACCATGAGATAACCGTAAGAAAAATACCTGACCAAATCTGCATCCAAAAATTTACTTTCCTTAATTATTTGGAATCCATGAAAGTCTAGGTGTAGAAAATATATTGATACGCGTCATGAGGGTTGATAAGTTCCTTAAAACCTTTAAGTATATTCAGGGGTTGGAACC